CACATAAAAGGAAGCAAATATGAAAAGATTTTCAATCTTTTATGTAATCAAAGAAATGCAAACTAAAATGAAGTATCATTTTAACTCATTATCTATTAAAGTAGAAAAAAAGATTTTACTAATAAACATCTCTGACAAGATTGTCTTGAACCCAATACCCTCATACAATGCCAGTGACACTCTAAAGCAAAAAGCAACATAAGCATTTGTCTCAAAAGCCATGAGAATTTTCATAGCCTTTGCCCTACACAAGGGCATTTATACTATGAAAATTGTATGAAGGAAGAAAAAAGTCATAAGTGCAATTATTCCTTACAAATTTCTATAACAGCAAAAACTGGAAACAACCTCACAGTCCAAAATTAAGAGATTAGAATATTAAGCAACACAGAAAAATGTGGATTAACACAGCACTGAGAAAAGCAGTCTATAAAACTGTATACACGCTTAACTATAACTCTGACTGAAATGGTTGTGTAAAAAAAAATATACACATGTGAAGAGTATCTTAAATGGAACGTGGAAAAATAGGAAAATTTGAGAATGATGGGGTTACAAGTTAATTCTTTACTTTTGAAAATGTCACTGGCTGTTAAGAAATTCACCAAAATGGTTACATTGTGGTACCAGGGCTGGGATGGCTTCTTGTATTTTCTGTAATGTAATTATGTGGGGTGTTTTTTTGTTTGTTTTATTGTGGTAAAAATATATATAACAAAACTTTTGCCCACTCAACAATTTTTACATGTACAATTCAGTGACACGGAATACGTTCATAATATTGTGCAACCATCACCACTATCCTTTCTCAAATTATTCCACCACTGATTGATTGTGTAGCTTTTGATGGTGAAAAGTGGAAATATAATGTTCAAAAATTTTCCTAAAGGGTTAAAAAATGTTTTGTACAAAAAAAGTTAGATTGGGGAAAAAAATTGTTTAAGAGCTGAAATATAGCCCATAAAGGGGCAGAAATCAAGTAAACCTACTCCTAAAAGCAATTTAGTTCAGCACTGGATAGGTATTTACTAAGCATCTCCTGCTCTCAGGCTTATGCCGATCACTGTGAGAGGCGAGACAACCTCTCCTCACCCCAGGAGGCTGTACTCCCACAGGCAGGGCAAGGCTGGCCCACAACCCAATCGGAAAGGAACACAATCTATAATCAAAGGCTCCAGCAGCACAAAGGAGAAGGGCCTTCGGGGATGGGGGTCTGAGGTGGCTTCATGGGGGTGGGCTCTGAGCTGGCTCATGAAGTACGTAGACAGGTAGAGAAAGAGGGAAAGCCACTCTGGCTCTGCTTTGCCACCCCGTCAGACAGTGGCCTGGATTCTCAGCCCTTCAGGAGGTGCGTTTCTATTAGCTGATTTATCTCTAACGCTGTGGGCAGTGCCCCCATGGGCAAACGAGAGCAGTATCTTGGAGTTGGTGTTGGTCACTGAAGCCAGGTTAGGCACCTCAGATGCCAGGCCCAGGGCAGTGTCCCTGGCTCTGGCCTTCGATGCTTCCTCCCGTCCAGACAGATTCAGTCAGCGCCACAGGGCCCATGGGCCGGCAGAGAGAATCGCTGTGTGCTCAGGACCACAGACTTTCCTTGGGTGCCAGGCCACAGCCCCAGAAAACAACAACCTGTGTGGTTTTTAATAAACAACCTACTTCTACTTCCCCTCAAGCCCCTACCTATACCTCCTCTTGAACCGCTCACCCATTCTTATTTTCACCTGGCGGTTTCTTCGTTGTTCATCTCTACCTTTTGGGATCAGGCATGCTATCCCAGCCCAGACGGCAGTGCGCCCAAAGGGGAATGAAATCTAGCAGCCCTAAGCCTGTCCCCAGCTGTCCCCATGCTCTGTCAAGCAGGTGCTGCCCCTGCTGGCCTCTAGGGAAGGTGGCTGCAGCCCCGAGGCCTCCCCGGATGTGGGCACAGCTCACCAGCAACCATGAGATCAGACATTAGAAAAATTACTCTGAGTCTCCCTCTGAGGTGGAAACCTAAGCACGAGGCTGGGATGCCAATGCGAGAACCAGTCTAGAAACCATTCGCTCCCTGGCCTCTTCTCTTGCCTGCCTTTCCCCCAGCTTGTAATTGACCCTGGAGAAAGATTCTTGACAGGAACAGCCTAGACATGGGCATGTCCAATTCTCCTTGACCTCTAGAACCACTTTCCAACTTCCTGCTGGGGATCGATCTCCATGTATCAGAGGAACCTTGAGCTAGCATGACCTTATGTCTCAGTTTGCCCAGAATAGCCCTGGTTTGTGGCTGATGGCCCAGGTTAATTATGATAGTACCTCTTTTACTCTCAAAAGTGTCCTGGTTTGGACCGTAAATGATTTTGTTACCGTCTCAAATCAGCATGTCAAAGCTGAATATATCATCTTCCTCTGACACACACACACACTCCTCTGTGCTCCCCACCTCAATTAATGGAGCAACATTCATACAGTATCCTGGTGGTGCAGTGGTTAAAGTGCTCAGCTACTAACCAAAAGTGGGTGGTTCGAATCCACCAGTCGCTCCGTGGGAGAAAGATGTGGCAGTCTTCTTCCATAAGATTTACAGCCTTGGAAACCCTATGGTTTCTATTCTGCTCTACAGGGTCGCCATGAGTTGGAATCGACTCGCCGGCAGTGGGTTTATCTGTATAATTACCAAACTGACAAACCCCAGCCCTATTTTTGACTCAGAATCCCTGGGTGGTGCAAACAATTAATGAATTCAGCTGCTAAAGGTTGGAGTTTTGAGTCCACCCAGAACCACCTTGGAAGAAAGGCCTGGCAATCTAGTTCCCAAAAATCAGCCATTGAAAACCCTATGGAGCATAGTTCTACTCTGACATGCATGGGGTCACCATGAGTTGGAGTTGACTCAACTGGTAATCTTTGATTCCTCTCTGTCCTGTCGGTTACTGAGCCCTGTGATGATACAATTAGCTCTTGAATAGGTCCTTTCCCTTCTGTCCCTATTGCCAGTATTCTATTTCAGACTCTCCACATCCCCAACACAAATCATTACAACAGTCTGCTATGGGGTCTCCCTGGCTTGAACCTCTCCCCTTTCTAATCCATAGCTCTGCCAGTAATCTTTTCAAAACACAGACTTCCATTGTGCCCCTATTCAAAAATGTCCAGTGGCTCCCCACACCCTACAGAATGAAATCCAAAGCCTTTGTGATCTGGCCCCAACTGCGTTTCCTGCTTCATCTCCTGCCACCCTCCTCCCACCCTGGGCTCTGGTCACACTGGGCAGACGGCTTCTTGTTCCATGAAGTTCACGTTTCTACTTGTCTCAGTATGCTTGTTCTTTTCACTCCCTCCTTCTAGTCTGACCCTTTCTCCTCTTTTCTGCTGCTCTTATTTGCCCTTTGACTCCTTCCTGGAATTAACCTCAAGTATCATCTAGCAGGAGCCCTGGCGGCCCAGTGGTTAAGAGCTACGGCTGCTAACCAAAAGGTTGGCAGTTCAAATCCACCAGCCACTCCTTGGAAATCCTACAGGGCAGTTCTACTCTGTCCTATAGGGTCGCTATGAGTCGAAATCGACTCAACAGCAACAGGTTTGGTTTTTGGTATCATCTAGAAAGACTTCTAATTCACTGCTTCCATCAGAAGTAACCACTCCCTTCTCTAAGCTCTAAAAGATGACGTTGTTTAAACATTTATTACAGTTTGATTTCTGGAATGTTGGCTGTTGATATACTACATATGTATCTATCTCTCCTGGCTAACAATGAACATCTATGGTCAAGAATTGTACCTCTTGCAAAGCCTAAAATAGTGCCTGCCCTGTCACACACAGAAGCTCATTGTTAACTAAACTGAATCAGACAAAACTGATCATCCTTCTCAATCTTTCAACACCAGGTTGCCCAGCGGGCCAGTCACTCATTCTTGGTAACAATGTGGTGGACTCTGAGAAGTTCTAACATAGCATCTCAGGGGAGGAAAGTCTGTGAAGAATTCAGACATAACTGGAGTCACCCAGAATCCCTGCTATACCCCACCTTCAGGGACAAAAGTGAGCTTTCCCTCACCAATCCTCTCCTCCACAGGAGGACAGCCTCCCCTCTGCAAGGCCAGACTTCATTCCCACCCTTCTCCATGGATCTCTCCCTCCCCTAAACTCCTGAATCCTAACTTTGGGCAACTAATCTGCTGCTTAATTAGGTGCCATCTTGTATTATCTTTTGTACTGAGCTTTTCTGTACTGTACTGAGTTTTTGGTACTGTGTATGACTTAACAGGCAGGTTGTTGCAGGATGGGGGAAAGAGGAAGAGCAATGAACTAGCAGTCAGTTGGCCGAATTCAAATCCAGGCTCTGCTTTTTTCCAGCTGGATAACTGGCCATACCCCTCCCTCCTTGGCTTAATACCCTTCCACGTGGCTCCATGAAGACCTGACTTGGTCAGGAAAACCACTTCTAGGGTTAAGACATTTAGTAGTGGCTCAAGAGACTAACAATGGCATGAGAGCCACCCCAACGTCATACTCACCAGATAGAAGAACCCTTCTTTCCTAAAGAGGTGAAGGAGAGGCTGCTGAGGCCCTCTCCCCATTATGAAATCTCATCCCGGGTTCTGTCTCCTCACCACTAAAGCTAAAGAAAACAACAGGTGCCAGCTGACTGGGGGATCTGAGAACAGAGTAGGATTCTGGAGCACCCACCACCTCTTGCAACCTGACATCAGACTCCTGAGATAATAGGCCAAGTACCCCCACTTCAAAAGCAAAGAAACTGAGCAGCTAGTAGAGGAAGTGATGGGCCACGCTCCCAGTAACAGGTCTCCCAGCTCTGGGGACTTGTGCTCGCAGGACGCCGCTGTGAAGCCCCATCTCTGCCCTGTCCCTGCCCTTCCCCTTAGGCCAGCCCAAATCGCAGGCCACCATCTCTACCACAGGAGTCTGCTCCGCCCACCCCACACCCTCCCCCTCCTTCTCCACCTTCCTGCCCACCTCGGTCTGGGGTGGCAGGAAGGGAGGTGCTGGGCACAGGCCGTGAAGAGCAAATCCCCCTCCTCCTCAGAGCTGCTGCCGCCTGCGCCAAAGGCTGCATCTGGCACAGGCCTCTTGACGGTTCCCGGGCCATGCACCCCACCGAGCCCTGGAGCCCCAGCCCATGGGCAGGGTCCGGGGACTACTCCGGGTCAGGCGCCCTGGAGGAGCTGGAGCTGTGCCCGTCCTGGGACCTGCCCTACAGCTACGTCTACATCCCCGCGCTCTACCTGGCGGCCTTCGCCGTGGGCCTGCTGGGCAACGCCTTCGTAATGTGGCTGCTGGCCGGGCGGCGGGGCCCGCGGCGGCTCGTGGACACGTTCGTGCTGCACCTGGCCGCCGCTGACCTGGGCTTCGTGCTCACGCTGCCGCTGTGGGCCGTGTCTGTGGCGCTCGGCGGCCACTGGCCCTTCAGCGAGAGCCTCTGCAAGCTCAGCTGCTTCGCGCTGGCCTGCACGCGCTGCGCAGGCGCGCTGCTGCTGGCGGGCATGAGCGTGGATCGTTACCTGGCGGTGGTGAAGCTGCTCGACGCGCGCCTGCTGCGCACCCCGCGCTACGCGCAGGCCGCCTGCTGCGGCATCTGGGCGGTGGCGCTCCTGGCCGGCCTGCCCGCCCTGGCCTACCGCGAGCTGCAGCCGCTCCCCGGGGGCCAGGGCAGCCAGTGCGGAGAGGAGCCCTCCGACGCCTTCCAGGGCCTCAGCTTGCTGCTGCTGCTGCTGACCTTCGTGCTGCCCCTGGTTGTCACCCTCTTCTGCTACTGCCGCATCTCGCGCCGCCTGCGCAGGCCGCCGCACCTGGGCCGGGCTCGAAGGAACTCGCTGCGCATCATCTTCGCCATCGAGAGCACGTTCGTGGGCTCCTGGCTCCCCTTCAGCGCCCTGCGGGCCGTCTTCCACCTGGCGCGGCTGGGGGCGCTGCCGCTGCCATGCCCTCTGGTGCTGGCGCTGCGCTGGGGCCTCACCATCGCCACCTGCCTGGCCTTCGTCAACAGCTGCGCTAACCCGGTCATCTACCTCCTCCTGGACCGCTCTTTCCGCGCCCAGGCGCGTCGCGGGGCCTGCGGCGGCGTCGGCCGCCTGACGCGCAGAGTCAGCTCGGCTTCTTCGCTCTCCGTGGACGACAGCTCTGTGTTCCGGAGCCGAGCCTGCAGCTGGAGCTCGTCCCAGCCGGTACACTCAGTCTCCTCGGGCGCCCTGTAGCAGCCCCAGGCCCGTGGAGGGGGTGGAGGGAGGGAGGAAAAAGGGAAGAGAGGCACGGGGACGTGGGCTGGGCTCCCCAGACATGCCTCTTCTGGTGGCAGCAGAAAGCCCCAGCTGCCACTGCCCAGCCAGGGTCTCCTCCATCAGTTTTTCCGGAACCTCAAAGCTATTTGAACTCCCCCAAACCGGGATGCTGAGAGCAGCTGTTCTCCCCGCCCAGGAGGCACCTCGACTAATTTCTCCAGTCCAAGAAAGGTCCTGTGAGATGAAGCAGTGAAGCAGACAGCAACCTGGAGACCCACAGAGTCACCAAGTAGAGGGAAGGAAAGTGGTCTCATTTCCTGTCCCATGGAGAATAGCACTGGCCGCAGTACCAAACCCAGATGGCCCAGAGGCCATCTCATCTCCTGCTATGCTTTCTCTGGACCCCTACAATAGCCTTTACCTTCCAAGAAATACCTTCTCCAAGTTAGGCCCCCTTGCTCTCCAAAAAAAATATTCTATACAACTTGGGAGTCAACAGCCCTATTTTTGCTCAGTCACCATTGTAGTTGCGTTTGCTATATCGTTAGTCACCATCAATTCAGACTTTTATTTTCAAAGGTCAACAAAGCCACTGGGATCAGCCCAAGTGTGAGCTGCCCAGCTTATTTCTCCCAACGGATCCCCTAGAAGTGATAAGCCTGCCCTGGGTTTTGCATCTGGTGACTCTTCTCCCCACTGTGGCTGCATCCCAGAAGCCGAAGAACTCACCCTGGAAGTTGTCCTGGCCCTTCCTTCTGGACCGAGGGCTCCAAAATCTCTCCCCGGGTACTCATATTCTGCATTGCTCAGCCAGGGATCCCAGAATCTTCTCTGTGAGTTCACCCTCCTCAATAAACACTTCTGCTTTGCTAGCTCTAGCCTGACTGTTGAGTCTTTACTTGAGCAGTGGGAGCGAAATGAATGTACGAGGTGGATCACACGCTGGGTCAGACAAAACTCAACCCTGTAGTTGAGGTTGACCTCAGGATGATCAGGATTTAGTGTCACATCAGCAGGCCTGAGAGTTAGCTGCACCAGTGTGGGCACAATAATCCCACAGGAGGGCAGCACATAGTTCATTTTTATCATTTTAAAGGAAATATCACATTTTGAAGGTTACAAAGAAAAAAAACTTGAAGGTGTCTGCCAACCAGGTATCATTTCAGAGAGGAGATGTACCGTTATGATTTTCAAATATATATTGGGCCATTTTTCCTACTCTTTTTGAGACCTTCCTGTGCAAGTGTTTGGAGTTATTCATATTCTGATTCTGACTCACTGACTGATCCTTTGAGGGACTGGAAAGTCAATGTTTATACTTTTGATTTAAGAGGATTTGGCCTAAGGAAATTTCAGTCAGTATAGGGAAAGGAACACAATTAATTCTCTTTCCCATGGGGATCTCTCCCAGACAGCTCCCCATGAGGCCAGGTATGAAGTTGCAGGTTCTGGGGGCAGCGTCTACTCAGATCAGCACTGCAGCTGGAGTCAGCTCTAGATTGGGTCTTCTGATCATTAAGCTTGTGTATCAGCTCAGCTGGGCCCTGATTCTCAGGGGTTTGGCAGTTATATGATGTTGTGATCACCTCCATGATGAGATCTGATATAATGTGATCACCTCCATGATGGGATCTGCTGTGAGTAGCCAGTCAACTGAAAGGGAGTTTTCTTAGGGGTATGGCCTGCATCCAATATAGATAGACTTTCTGGCAGGGCTTATGGGCTTTTGCTTGCTCTGGATCCTGCAGCTGGCTCCTGTTTGTCTGACCTCCAGTTCTTGAGACTTGAGCTAGTAAATTAACTGCCATCTTGTCTGCCGATCTTGGGATTCATTGGTCTCCACAGCCTGTGGGCCACAGCCCTGCTCTCTGACCTGCTGATCTTGGGTTCGCCAGCCCCTGCAGCTACATGAATCAGGAGAAGCCTCCAGCCTGACCCATGGACTTGAGACTTTCCAGCCTTTACAACCACAAGAGCCATTTCCTTGATATAAATCTCTCTATATATAAATTTATATGCCTTGCTGGTTTTGTTTCTCTAGAGGACCCAGTCTAAAACAAGTCACTAAAATGATAAAACATTTTCTGTGGTTAAACTCTGTCCCTCCCTGTACTGGGTTTCGGGGTCATCTGCAGGCCCTGTATACCTTCCTGGGCCTATCTGTATCATTGTGCCTACTCATCAGACAGGCCTGCCAACACTTTTTACAAATGTGGTGTGAGCACCAGGTCCACCAGGGAAAGATTACAGTTCCTATTTTAGGAACCTCTAGGGAGTCCCTAAGGAACCCTAGTACCACAGTGGTTAAGAGATCAGTTGCCAGCCAAAGGTTGGCAGTTTGAATCCACTAACTGCTCCTTGGAAACCCAATGGGGCAGTTCTAATCTGTCCTACAGGGTCGCTATGAGTCAAAATAGATTCAATGGTAACAAGTTTGGTTTGGTTTTGGGGAGTCCCTAGGAGTCCCTAGCAGCAGATAGACGCTCTGCTACTAGCCAAAATGTTGGCAGTTCATACCCACCCAGAGGCACCTTAGAAGAAAGGCCTGGCGATCTGCTTTGGAAGGGTCACAGCCTTGAAAACCAGTGGAGCACAGTTCTACTCTGAAACACATGAGGTCGCCATGAGTCAGAATCTATGTGACAACTAAGAATTTGGTACCGTAAGTGGGGGTGCTGCTCTAACAGATACCTAAAATGTGGAAGGTGTTTTGAAACTGTGAATGGGTAGAGGCTAGAAAAATTTTAAAGTGCCTAATAGTAAAAGCCTAGATTGCCTTGAAGAGACTGTTGGTGGAATTATGGCCATCTAAGACAATTGTGGTGAGGACTCAGAATGAAGTGAGGAGAGCTGTAACAATGGAGACGGCATAGACGGCAAGAAGCAGCAGCAGAGAAATGGCAGCAGCAAAACCAGGAGACCAGTGTGAGATGGTAGGGGAACTGACCCATGGAGTGAGAGAGCTGAGTGCCTTTGTGCAGAAGGCTTCCTGGTGGAGTAGGGTACCTCTGGGCACTTATTGGTGGAGCTAGGCTTGCCAACCCACAGAGCAAGAAAGCTGGGTGCCTTCTGGCCGAGGTTTACTCACGGAGTTGCATGCCTCCAGGCACTTGTCAGTAAAGCTAAAGAGCTTTGGAACACTCACCTGAGCAGGGCAGATGCCAGGCCAGCCCAAAAGACCTGAGGGGCCAAGAGGCCAAGGAACCAGGAAGCAGAAGCTGAAGAGACAAGGAACACAGGAGGCAGAGCTGCCTTAGTCTCAAAGGGTATGGCCATGACCTCCGGGGTCTCAAAGGGTGAAGTCACAGCCTCTGGGATTTCACAGGGTGGGGCCACAGCCTCCTAGGTTTCAAAGAGTCAGATCTTCACCAACTGGTTCCAGAGTGTGGGGCTGCTGTTCACAAAAGCCAGCGGGATGGGGCCAGATCTACTGCCCAAAGCTGAGGAGGCAGGGCTGCCATGCCTAAAGGGCAGAATAATGGGGCCTGCTGAGGCTGAGGGCATAGGGTTGCCAGTCAGATGGACTAGGAGAATGGAGAATCCTTACGACCAAGAAATAAGAGCCACAAGCAGAGCATGTCCTTTAGATGTGGGGTCTCTGCACTAAGAAGCTCCTAGACCAGGAGAAGATTGATGACAAGGACCTTCCCACAGAGCTGACAGAGAGAGAAAGCCTTCCCCTAGAGCTGATGCCCTCAATTTGGACTTCTAGCCTCCTAGACTGTGAGAGAATAAATTCCTGTTTGTTAAAGCCATCCAATTATGGTATTTCTGTTGCAGCACTAGATGACTAAGACAGCTCTAAAGCCTGGGCATTGCTTCTCAGCTTGTTTAACCTTCCATCCAATGCCACTGCATGTATTTTTAGCATCTGGGGCTACTGGGTTAGAGCAGGTTGAACATCACATCCTACCCACCCTGACCCTATTTCTCCACAGCCCCCAGGAAGTCAGGCTGTCAAGAACTGCACCCATATAGGCCCCTCCCACACACCCCAAGAGAGTCCAGTGGGACATATTTCAGGCACTTTAATGTTTGAGAGCTCAGGTATAGCATGTCCAGGGTCCTTCCTATCCTTGCCATTGCTCTCTGAGCAACTATTCCATTTCATATGGCTGAAGTCCCAGAGGCCCCATCATTTTGTGAGATCGAACACAAAATGAATCTCTTCTGAGATGGTATGTGGTGAAACCCCAGCTTACAGAAGACGCACTTCTCTAGGCACTCAGGAAGATGAGGCACAGATTCAGCAAGGAAGTAGTTAAATGAGCACTCCCACATACGTTGCTGGTGGGAGTGTGCACAGGAGGATTTTTTAGAAAGCAAGTTGTCAGTCTACACGAGGAGCTTTAAAAATATTCATATCTCATCCCTCCAAAACGTTCATACCCTTTGACCCTGCAGTTTCTCTTCTGTCCCTCTCTTCTAATGCAGTAATACTAAATGAGAAAGGTTTGGTGCACTGCTTAAACTGAAAGGAAACAACCTTGGTGTCCAACAAGCGTAAAACATCTTCATTAATATGATGGAGTATCATGCAAATTTTAAAATGTTGTTCAAAGAGAGATTTTTTTTTCCGCATTGCCGTCGAGCCGACTCTGACTCATAGCAACCCTACAGGACAGAGTAGAACTGTCCCATAGGGTTTCCGAGGAGTGACTGGTGGATTTGAACTGTTGACCTTTTGGTTAGCAGATGAGCTCTTAACTACTGTGCCACCAGGGATCCTAAAGAGCTTAGAAAATGTTGATTATAGTTAAAAGGAAAAAAAAAAAAGGTAACAAAATCGCTTATGCTAAACACATCCACACACTTCAAGTATGAAAAAGCCTGGAGGATATAAAATAAGTGCTAGCATTGGTTTTATTGAAGGAAAACATTACATGATGTCCCTTTAGTCCTTTGGATAAAAATGATCTTTTGCTCTTTTCTTCTCCATAGCCTAAGTTCTAAGTTTTGTAAGCATGCGTCTTTTT